TGAGTGGCTGGGCCGCTGACAGGCCTGCGGTTGCACTGATGGTCGGGCAAGCCCCTGCTTGCAGTGTTGTGTCTCAGAGAGGCAGCTCTGCAGCCCAGGCATGTGCCCCTCCCTGTTGCCTCAGACCAGCTCACAGGAACTGCACAGGTCACTTCTCTAGGGCGTGTTGAGCTGTGTGGGGTGGAGGGGAATGCACTGGAGTGTCTTCTCCAGCTTTGCTCCAGCTGTGGAGCTCCTTCCTGGGGAGGTAAATGGGTGGTGACATGCTTGTCAACCACTGCTCAGAGCTGTGGGCTTGGGGAAAGCGGGGGCTGCCAAAGGCAGAGGGTGGCAGGACTGTTCATGGGGGCTATGTGCTGGGGAGTGGTGAGAGCAGATGCCATGGGCAGGAGTTGCTGCTGGGCATAGCTCTTGGAGAAGCAGCTGTGGAGCCTTGCACCGGGGCTGGAACAAAGGCAGAGACCCAAGCCCCAGCTGCAGCACAGGACGTGGGATGAATTAATCGGGGCATGAGCTGGTAGTGCTGTGTGACCATGGGCTGGCAGTGGCTTGAAGCCGGATCAGGGCTCCTTCACCTTGGCACCAGCATTCTCCCGTTTGCCATAACACCCAGAGCTGAGAATGAGAGCCAGGTGATGGCTGCAGCTGAGCCCTGGGGAGTAAAACCTCTCCTGCTGCAGGATCCCAGCACCCTGCAGAGTCCCTGCCCTGCTGCCCCGTGCAGCCCCCACAGCCCTTGTATTCCCCACCCAGCACATGTCTCCTGGGTCACAACCCCACCTCCAGACAAATCCCTCTGCCCAGGGGTGCCCAGGACCCACAGGCGAGGTCCCATCCAGTGCCAGCTCTCTGTGCTCACAAGGCAGTGCCCAGATAAGCCCATTCCTTAGCCTGTGCTAAATGTACTATAGCTGTAGTATTTACTAAGCAGGCAGCTCCTGTCAGGTCACAGTTTGTTGGCTGCACTGCTTATCTCTTTGCTTTGCTGGGCTTGGGAACATGTCAGTACGAACCACTGCTCTGTGCTTTGCCCTGCACACCGATGGCCTTGCTCTGCTGGGGGAGCTGTCTCGTGGAGTGGATCAGGGAATACATCTCCCTCTCCCTAGCCAGGACTGGTGTGGGTGGCTTTATTGTGCAGGCTCTTGAGGTCCCTGCTCACCACTATGTGAGCTGTTTAATACTACTGATTACCACTGCAGCTATTTCATAGCCACAGTTTGCAGTATTTTCAGGCATCTTCTCTCAGGTGTGAGGGCAAGATATTAATTCAGGGAAGACTTGTGAACTACTCAGGAAAGTGGACCACCACAGGTGAAGGCATGCAGCACCTGAGAGAATTAACTGGTGCTGAAGAGTATAGTGATCTAGAGAATCATGAGGTCTCCAAAGATCCAGAGGATGACCTGTGCTCATGAACCATGTGGAGGAAGGTGATTCAGAGTGCACTAGTGTCATTCTAACAGCTTGGCAGTGATGGATATGGCGGATACACCAGCTGTGAAGGCAGTATCTTCTTGGCTCCAGAACTTCAGAGAAATATCTGTCCCTCCTCATCCCTATAGGCCAGTGCCTTGGCTGTCAGGGGCACCCCAAGAAGTCAGTGCCTTCCTGCTCTGACCAGAGGGAAGGGGAGCCTCAGGTGCATGCTATGTGGTGTACTCTGCAGGTTCTCCCTGCTTGACCAGGGAAGGACAACAGGGAGTAGGATGGGGAACCCACCTTGGAGCTGGAAACCATGTATGAGATTTGAGAGGGAAGAGAGCTGTTAAGGACACCCAAGAAGGCTTTCAGCATAATTGCTCTAGAGACACAAGAAGGCAACCATCTTTTGGAGCAACCACTATGTGTGCTTAATCCCTACTTCCAGGGAAGCAGCCAGATATCACCTGCTGATGGGAAGTAGAGAATAAATCCTTTGCTGTCTTTTGCTTCTACACGTGGTTTTTGATTTATTGAACTGCCTTTGTCTTGACCCACAAGTTTTTTCTGTCTGCTATGTCCTGTCCTGCTGAGGAGGGGAATGATAGAGCAGCTTGGTGGGCACCAGGGTCAGTCCACCACAGATACGAAACAGGTTGTTGCCCAGCTCAGCAAGGCAACCAGGCTGCAGAAGCACTGGGATCCAAACCAGACCAGGCACATCCCTGCTCAGATGGGCGAGTCCTCAACAGCTGCAAGTGCCCGAGGATCAGCCTGGAGGTACATGGGGGCCCCTCGAGCACGGGTACAGTCAGCTGGGGTCACCAGTCCTGCGGTGTCCTTGGCTGTGCTGCCCTCCCCAGACCCTGCAGGCAACGTCCCCTGAAGATTTGGTGTCTGCCAGCCCTTATGGGGCTGGTCCAGGGTGTCAGGGAATGGCTGCAGAGCACCATGCCTCAGTTGCCTTAGCAGGATCTGCTGTGGTGGCTCTTTCTTCCTCAGGAGGTGTCTCGCCTCTTACATGCTAAATCAGATCTCCAATTAATAAGTACTGGCAAATAACAGGATTAAATGGCTGCCAAGCAAAGGGAGCTGGCAGAGGCAAGTGTGCCATGCTCAGAGGCTCACCCTAGCAATGCATGGTCCTGTCAGGGCTGGCATGGGGACCTGGACTGGTTCAGAGAAAGCCCCAGCACGTGGTGCAGCCTAGGTCTGTCCCTTGCATTAGCAGCATCCTGAGCTTCTGGCTCTGATGCTGGTGTGTATATTGGTGCCCCAAATACAGGTTCCAGGAGCACCTCCCTTTTATCCAGGCTCCCCTGATCCCAGGCTGGCAACACAGGTCCTCATCCTGGCCACCCCCTGCTTACCTCCCTAGGCTTGCCTTGTCCCCCATCTCCTCTGACAGATCGAGGCTGGTATTAATATAATCCCTGGCTTAATTTAAATCCTCCTCCCATCTCATGGTTTTCCAGGGGGGGGGAGGGAATCAATGTGTTCCTGTGGCATTCACTTGGCCCTGGAGCTGGTGCTGTGTTTAGACGTCCAAAAGCTCTGGGTGTCCATGCAAGGGGTCCCTGCTCTTGTCCCCCTGGGAAAGATGTCTGGGGGACACAGTGAGATGTGTCCCCAGGTTTCAAAGGTGTATCTCAGGGGGCACCAGGCACTGGCAGGAAGAAGAGTTGACAATGCCCACCAGGAGGAACCACACAAGTGGCTCCTGCTCCCCAAAACCCTTCTGCAGCCACCAGGAGGTCTGGTTTCACCCTCTCTCTCCTGTCTCCCCTCACTGTTTGGCCCAGGCTGGGGTGACCTTGTCACTATTTTTTCCCTTAAACTCTCTGTAATGTTTGTATTTGCTGCCCTTCCCAGGAAACCTCTTTCTTTAAGACATTCTCGCTCCTGGTCCTGCTTGGCGATGGGGAGGGTGGGGGCAGTCACACTCCTTTGGGCAGCTGTCACCGAAGTGACATGTGGGACTGTGAGGGGACGGGAGAGTGAGGAGTGATGGGGGGCACTGACGGGGCACAGGCAGAACATGTGGGTACTATGCGGGGAGTGACAGGGGCAGGCAGTGAGGGGGTACGGGGAGTGATGGAGTGGGCACTGATGGATACAGGGGGTACAGTGGGCACTGTGAGGGCACTGATGGATACAGGGGGTACTGTGAGGGCAGTGCCGAAGGCTGACACTGATGGATACAGGGGACACAGTTGCACTGTGAGGGCAGTGCCGGGGGGCACAGCGGGCACTGTGAGGGCACTGACAGATACAGTGGGCACTGTGAGGGCAC